TCCGGCTTTGGCCACCTTCTGGATGCTGGGTTCGCCGTAGAGTGCAGCGAGCTCGTGGTTCATTCATCGCCGCCACTCACCGTTCTCCTGCACACCGCCGAAGATCGTCCTTAGCACACGTCGCTCAAAAACTCCGAGTGCTTGCAGGTCCTCCTCGAGCATAGTCCATGTCTCGTGTCCAATGTCCATAGAGGACCACCGATCTTATTAGCGTTCTGTACATGGTACATTTGGTGCGGGGGTGAATCTTTTTTGACCGTAGTTTCTTCTGGAGCCCGTAGTAGGCACGACTTCCACTGATGATGCGCCTTCGTATTTCACGACTCACATTGTTGTCAACCGTCATTAAGGATCCAAGGTAAACGAATTCCTCCACTACCTCGAAAGTATCCCCGTCTATCGTGACATTACTTCCTAGACGAATCCTGTCATGTTCGGTTCCGCCTACTAGCATGTACTTTGTTTTTGACGCACTCACCACCAGTCCGACCTTTGCTGCTTCGTGTTTCAGGCGGGTGTATAGTTCTGCCACCGTTCCAAGTGTTCTTGCGATAATGTCCATGTCGTCCGCAAAGCATACAAATTGACCGGATTTCGTGAAAATCGTACCCCGGCTGTTGAGCCCGGCTCGTCGCATTACACCTTCTAGAGCAATGTTGAAGAGTAGGCATGAGAGTCCGTCACCTTGTCGCAGTCCCCGGCGAGATTCGAATGAACTGGATAGTTCACCCGAAACCCTTACGCAGTTTTGCACACCGTCCATCGTTGCTTTGATCAGTCTGATCAGCTTCCCATGAAAGCCGTTCTCGTCCATGATTTTCGGATACTGTCGTATGCCGCCTTAAAGTCGATGAACAAAGGATGCGTTGGGACCTGGTATTCACGGCATTTCTGGAGGATTTGCCGTACGGTGACGATCTGGTCCGTTGTCGATCGGCCGTCAATGAAGCCGGCTTGATAACTTCCCACGAACTCGGTCATTTTTGGTGATAGACGACGGAAGATGATCTGGGATAGCACTTTGTAGGCGGCATTCAAAATGGTGATCGCTCTGAAGTTCTCACATTCCAAATGGTCGCCTTTCTTATGAATGGGGCAGATTACCCCCTCCTTCCACTCCTCCGGTAGCTGTTCTGTTTCCCAGATCCTGACTATCATCCAGTGCAGGCAGGTGGCCAACTTTTCTGAGCCCATCTTGATGAGTTCGGTTGCGACACCATCCTTACCAGCTGCTTTGTTGTTTTTGAGCTGCTGAATGGAGTCCTTAACTTCCCTCAGCGTGGGAGTTGGATCTGTTCTGTCCTCTGCTGCACTGACGTAGTCGTTTCCTCCATTGCGCTGGTCTCCCGTGCCTACGTTCTCCTCGCCATTCAGGTGCGCATCGAAGTGCTGTTTCCACCTTTCAATCACCTCACGTCCGTCCGTCAAGAGGCTCCCGTCCTTATCCTTGCACATTTCGGCTCGCGGCACGAAGTCGTGGCGGGATGCGTTGAGCTTCTGGTAGAACTTCCGTGTTTCTTGGGAACGGCACAGCAGTTCCATTTCCTCGCACTCCGTTTCTTCCAGGCGGCGTTTTTCTCCCGAAAGATGCGGGTCTGCTGTTTCCGCTTCTGTTTATACCGTTCCACGTTCTGTCGGGTTCCATGCTGCAGCATTACCGCCCGCGCTGCGTTCTTCTCCTCCAAAACCTCTTAGAGATGAACTAGCCTAAGGCTAAAAATCTCTTTAATAAAGAATTTAAAAAAAAAATCCTCCAAAACCGCTCTGCACTCCTCGTCGAACCATTCATTCCGTCGACTTCTTTCCACGTACCCGATGGTGCTCTCGGCTGCGTCGGTGATGGCTGCTTTTACTGTACTCCAGCAGTCCTCTAGAGGGGGCACATCGAGCTCGCCCTCCTCTGGCAACGCTGCCTCGAGATTCTGCGCGTATGCTAAGGCGACATCCGGTTGCTTCAGTCGCTCTAGGTTGTACCATGGCGGGCGTCGGTACCGTACATTGTTGATGACGGAAAGTTTTGGGCGCAGTTTGACCATCACCAGGTAGTGGTCAGAGTCGATGTTAGCGCCACGATAGGTCCTGACGTCGATAATGTCGGAGAAGTGCCGTCCATCAATCAGAACGTGGTCGATTTGTGATTCCGTCTGCTGTGGTGATCTCCAGGTGTAACGATAGGGGAGGTGGTGTTGGAATAAGGTGCTACGTATGGCCATGTTCTTGGAGGCGGCGAAATCGATGAGTCGTAGGCCGTTCCCGTTCGTCAGCTGGTGGGCGCTGAACTTTCCAATCGTCGGTCTGAATTCCTCCTCCTGGCCTACCTGAGCGTTTAGATCTCCTATGATGATCTTGACGTCGTGGCTTGGGCAGCGATCGTACTCGCGGTCGAGCTGCGCGTAAAATGCGTCCTTGTCATCATCAGTGCTTCCGGAGTGAGGGCTGTGCACGTTGATTATGCTAAAGTTGAAGAATCGGCCCTTGATCTTCAACCTGCACATTCTTTCGTCGATCGGCCACCAACCGATCACGCGCTTCTGCATTTCGTCCATCACGATGAAAGCTGTGCCCAGCTCGCGTGTGTTGCCGCAACTCTGGTAGATGGTATGATTACCTCTGAACGTTCGCACCATGGATCCTGTCCAACACACCTCCTGCAGCGCTACGATGCCGAATTCGCGGTCCTTCAGTAGATTGGCGAGTATTCGGGTGCTCCCGATGAAATTGAGAGATCGACAGTTCCACGTGCCGAGTTTCCAATCGCAAGTCCTATTTCGTCGCTGGGGTTGTTGCCGTTGGTCTCGGTTCGTATTCCTCTGTTGCTGATTTTCCGTTGCAATGCTTTTTTACGGCTGGCTCGCAGGGCCTGACACCAACCCCCTAACTTTCCGGAGGACCAGGGTGCACAGTTGTGCTTAGAGTCCTTCACTGGCACTCGGACGTAGATCAGCCGCCCCTAACATGGGAACAGACGCTGTTGTGAGCCGCTCCTCCTGGAGAACAGACGCTCAGGCTTGCCGAAGCAAACCCCCCCTTCCCTGTCAGCCTATGACCAAAGCTCCCACCGGGGTTGGTTACCCGATCTTCCCTAAGGTTGCTCACAGTTCCCGGCCGGTACCACGGGGAGGTAGGGATAGGAGTTGCTGGGAAGAGGCTAGTGATCTCAATGGGATCTGTATTGCGCATTACCCAGCATTAACCAACCAACCAACCAAATCTACATCAATGCTCCTCAAAGAGTTCTACGTAAATACACGCTTCTGTGGCAACCTACCCATCGAAACGTTTGATGTATATGATTTTAACATTAGTGAGTCTACTTACATAGAATTCGACACCTAGCCTAGAAAATATCTGTACAACATTATGTTAAAGATTTAATTAAATAAATAAATTTCCGACACCGGCGAGGGACCAGCAGCCGAGCACTTTTGCAAGCGGAAAATTTGCTGATTCACGGCAACGTCGGTCACCGAATCACCACCAAAACTCGCGACGGACACATTATCAGCACGTTTCCGGGTTAATTCACCAACCGACCGGGTTCAAAATCGCCCACGGCGACGCATCTCTCAATAGAACAGAACTACACGTCGAAAATGTGGCATCCGAACTCGAAGAACCGGGCTCCCCCCAGGAGGCAATTTTCGACACCGAACAATGAAACTGAAGCTGCGTCGTGGATTTTGGAGGTTAGATTCAAGGTCAACCGAGTCGCTCAAGGCAAACACAGGCAAAACACGATATCTAGAGTAACATTTCAAATGGGATTATGTCCAAATGTAAACAAATCGGGTTTTGATACCATTCTTTAGCACCACTTGATAGCTACTAATCGTGTAGGAAAATTCCGCATAATCGAGAAAAATCATTAAAAATAATTCGATTTTCGAAACGGCCGATCAACGAAATTTTTCGATTCATTAATAGGCCCGCACGCTAAAACAGCCAACCATTCATTTATTTCATTTCGTTGATAAGCCTAGTGACGTAGAAGGGCCGATGATTGAAAAATTTCAAACCAAAGCTAGGCCCTACTGCTTGAGGCAGGGCCGATGATTGGTTTTGAATTTATTTGACGTTGCGAAAAAGCTAAAATACTTCAGTTTTCTTAAATATGAATTGAATAGTGGGGGAAAAATTTAAAATTCATTTTCTTGTTTGTTTACGTTTTGGACATAGGCCCATTTCAAATGTTACTCTAGATATATCACTAAATGATAACTTTATGAACACACTTGAAACTAAATTTCAACACACAATTTAGAGCAAAAAATGTTTAATTCGCTGGCGAAAACACGTCAGTTTTCAAGCGCGGCCCACTGCCATCCCTGGAGGCAAGAAAGACATCTGTATCAAAACCGAACACTAAGTCTTCATCATTTCTCAATAGTGATGCAGTAATACCATAGAGGTAACTCTAAGACCAGAAGGTCCCGAAGAAACGTGGTCAACTTTTTGGCTCAGCTCTGGTATACTCTTCGGTCCCAAGCTAATCGATGCACCGCTCGAAACATAAGAAAAACCATTTTCCCTACTACAATAGATCAAAATACTGGTCGCAGTGGTTTTATGTTCCGAACCGAACAGAGGAAACGAATTATTAGACTTTATTCAAAATTTTCCACTGCGAGTGGAAATTAGCATCATAGTCAGAAACGAACGTGTCCATTTTCTGTTGTTTACATTGCATCACATTTAACAGCTTCTGATCAGTCCAGGATGGTTCAAGCAGCTTAAAATGCTCTTCGAATAGGGTAACTGTAGACTTGAAACTGAATTTAATTATTTTTGCTATGATTTCGCTCAGCATCTCAAGCAAATTTCAAGGTTCAGAGACCTTGAATAATGAATAATTTTGATTTGAAGCTTGAAAACCTGATCCAAAGAAAAAAAATGATGCTGAGTTACGCATATGAATTTCGCCGTTCTTAACAATCTTAATTTTATCATTCTGGCATCTTACCTGTATCTTACATTTTGCTTTCATTTGTTTCTCCTCACAGAGGCATCTTCGAGTGGGGCATGCTGTACAAGGAAAACGAAGTGCCCCGTAGGGAGCAGAAACGCCGGAAACACGACAGTGAACCCTACAAGAGTCCAACCCACGCCGGAGGTCTGTTCGCCATCAATCGGGAGTTCTTCCTGGAGATCGGCGCCTATGATCCGGGTCTGCTGGTCTGGGGTGGTGAAAACTTTGAGCTGAGTTTCAAGATTTGGCAGTGCGGTGGCAGTATCGAGTGGGTTCCCTGTTCCAGAGTGGGCCACGTCTACCGCGGGTTCATGCCGTACAACTTCGGTAAGTTGGCCAACAAAAAGAAGGGACCACTTATCACGATCAACTACAAGCGAGTCATTGAGACGTGGTTCGATGACCAGTACAAGGAGTACTTCTACACGAGGGAACCTCTGGCGAGGTTTTTGGACATGGGAGATATCTCCGAACAGTTGGCCCTGAAGGAGCGGCTGCAGTGTAAGAGCTTCCAGTGGTACATGGATAATGTGGCGTATGATGTATTGGATAAGTATCCGCAGTTGCCGGCTAACTTGTACTGGGGAGAGCTGAAGAACTCCGGAACGGAGAAATGCGTAGATGCACTTGGTCGTCAACCACCGGCGATAATCGGGTTGCAGCACTGCCACGGTCAGGGTCACAATCAGTTAATTCGGTTGAATGCCGCTGGCCAGTTGGGCGTCGGAGAGCGATGCATCGATGCCGACAATATGGGCATCAAGTTGGCTTTCTGCCGGATGGGAACGGTCGACGGACCGTGGCAGTATGACGAAAACACCTCAACGCTGCTGCATCGAACGTACAAAATGTGCATGGGTTACCATCCGCAGACCCGGGCGCTGACTCTGATGCCATGCGACGTGCACAATGCATATCAGTCGTGGAAGTTCCACACCATCACGCCGCGGTGGTAGTTTCGGTATCGAGCCCACATGACAGCTGCAGTCATTCCACTATCCACCAGCGTTTCCGCTATCATCGAGTGATGTGAGAACGGAAATCTACCCCTACCATGAACCGGGCACAAATTCAAACGAATCAAAACGTGTAAATATCATACGGTAAGCCCAGCCACTTGCGTAGAGAACTGCGTTGTTTAACATTGACCTTTTTGTACATACGTGGACACCGATTAGGAATTTTATAAAGGGTAGTTCTCTTCCATTTGATTATTACACACGAAATGCAATATAGCTACATACTTTTGAGGAAAGCGGTTTGCCAAAATTACTTAAAATTTCTGGAACACATATTCGATCCACACCTGAAACATTATAAAAGGTAGATCTACCGTACAGTGCATCATGTTACTCTGAGTCTGAATTAAAGTTTTTTTTTGTTTATCAAGCTGAACAGCAGTGGAAGCATTTTATTGGTGTTGTAGAAGCGTGCGACTGTGTGTGCCTTCTTTTGTGGTTGACGAAAAACTGCAGACTTTTGTGGTTTTTTTTTTGGGTTGAGTCAAGCACCGGCGAAGTTGTTGGTGTTCGAATAACAGTAACATAATCTATTTGATTGACTGAAACCCTTTGTGTTGATCCTCTCCTGTTCTTAACGTGAGTAAGACTTCCTCGAACTAATATTATACTATTATTATAGTGAGAAACTGGAAACTGGTACATCACACCAGTCCGATATTTGCAATGCATCATTTAAATAGAAGGACCCAGGAAAGATAATCTTTCTTGACTAGATAAGTGGGAGTATATTCTCGAAAGAGAAAGTGAAATATTAGCAAAGATGCGCAAAAAAGGAATGCGAGAGACGTTGTAAGATGAAATATGAAACAAATCACCTGGTTACGACTTAAAATTGAATCGATTTAGGATAAATTTTCTATTAATTAAGACAAATAAACATTGTTATTAAATATGCTTGGCTGGTTGATTTTCGTTCAGTATCCGAAAATGTTTCCACCATCGCAGTTTTATCGAAATCGAGTTCACAGCAGACCAGCACTGAGTGTTGCTTTTAAATTATGCTGACCAAAGCATAACAATCGCTGTACCCGGAGTTCGAACCCAACCCAGCCAATGTTCATTCATTTCACTCTCAATTACCGATCGATCAACATGTCGCGTGGTGTCAACTCGATCGTCGTCACTTTGCTGTGCCTTGGCTGGCTTCAGAGCCTTACAAGCGGGAAGGATTTTAACTGTAAGTAACCTGGTAATCATTTCGCCACTCAAATTCAAAATCCACACAACCCACGCAGTCATCTTCGATCCGCACGAGATGGAATGTTCGGGCAACGTGACCTACGATAAGGTGATGCTGACGGCGTACCGGCCCAACTTCGAGAGCGAGGAAAAACGGGACTACACCGACCTGAAGCTCAAGAAGCTGTACTCGTTGCAGGACTTTCTGGACCATCGGGCCCCGTTCGTGTCCTGCGGGATGGATTCCAAGTTGAAGATACCGTACGGAACGCCGATCTGCATTCCGGAGTTGAATATACACTTCCGGCGGAACATCAAGCTGCAGGTGAGGGATACGCATCAGGATCTGTCCGGCGGTGGCTATCGGCGGGTGGATATTTGCGTTCGTACGCAAGCGGACAGCTTCGATGATATCGTCAATTTGTTGGATGCTACGCTGATTTTTTGAAGTGTGAATAAAGTGTGTGTGGCATGGTACATGCTGGGTGGATTAGTGAAAGCAACAGGAAGTTTGTTAATTGGAGAGAAATTTCTGTTTAATTTAGACAGGGTATCTGCTACCTGAAAAACAAAATGGAAAACCTGGAATCTTCAGGGAATGATATTTTACCCGGAAAAATTTGGAATGCTCAGGGAATTTCCAAAATTCTTTATCTACAACATTTTTAGGAATATAATATATCAAAGTGCGCCAGGAATTTTAAATTATTTTTAAATATATCCAACCTTGGCCCTATTGGTCCTCTAATTGGCTCTATCTTAAATTTCACATTTTCACACTCTTTTCAAAATTTGTTTCCATACAAGGCTAGGACATATGTTTTGCCATAAATCTACGCAAATAAAAACCATGCAAATTTATTTTATGATTTATGCATCATGGCCAAAAACTTAAACACTAGTGCCAAAACTGGTACACTTTCTACAGTTACTTTTACTCTTTGAACAAAATAATTCTGGAGTGGATTTATCTTCAGTAACAACATAAATTATTTTGCTTGAAATGTGTTTTGACAGATTCTGGAACATAGATAATTTCTACAGATTTTAAACTTAACTATTTTTTTCAACCTTATACCTAATGAAATTAAACTTGTAGAAGTTTTCAAGAATCTAGAACGAAAATAAATATTCAAACTTCGAACATTGAATGAATTCCAAGAAAAAGATTTCAAATAAACTGAGGGTCTTGCATGGGTTTCAATGATAATAAACTTTGTGGGGGGCACTCTCTGCCCAGCACTATTGAGATCCCTCCTCTACACTGCCTCAGGGTCGGCATACGCGGCCAATAAAATACAGTCAGAATCCTTATTGCCGGGCTATCCGCGAATAAGGATAACCACACATTTGTTTCAATATATAAAGCTATGCTGTCTTGGACAAAGTTGTTGTACTAGGTTTTACCAATAAGCCTATGTCATTGGATTCAGGTTCAACTGGAAACTACGCCGCTAGAAGCGCTTCCCTTCTAAGTTACTTATGACGGGCGCTATGATATATGGAACTTGGGTCCAACATAGAATATTTCGTGATCCTGGCCATACAGAAATTTGTAGTCTTGAGCAAAATTGTTGAAGTGACCAAGTCCTTTCGTATGGTGGCCATATAAGTTAAGAACCCTCACACTACGCAGCGCTAGTGTGCAAGTGAACTTCCTTAACATGTTATGTCTTGAAAGCTTGTCAGATAAAAGTAATTCGTATAACACGTAATGAAAAGCGAAAATCGAACCAAATGTCTGTCATACTCAAAACCGATGCGCGTGGATTCGATACATTGATGAAGCTACAGCGAATCAATCTGGGATGGGAACGATGCAGAGTTATAGAGGCGACCGACGTTATGTGTTGTTTTAACTGCTCCGAGTTTGGACATAAAGCCGCATCGTGCGCGAAACCAGCATATTGCCCGAAGTGCTCAGGTGATCACAAAATCGACGAATGTGAAGAGGACTTTGAGAAGTGTATTAATTGCCATCATGTGAATACAAAACGTCAATCGTCCTATGATGAGCTGTTGGATATCACCCATTCATCGTGGAGCAGTAAATGTCCTATTTTCCGAAAGATCTGCTGAAGCAGCTCCGGGCGCTCTGTCATCCTTGGATTCTTATCAGCTAATAAAACTGGCTGTCCCATGTAAAACTATTTTGAATATATGCCCTGCCGAAGCACTCGTGGATACTGCACCCTCCCTCAGTCGTACTCAACCATTCCAGGCAAGGTTGACGTTAAACTTTGGCGATAGCTCTCACGAAGCAGCTTCGTGGCCTTTGTCATCGTTGGACATTTACCAGCTAACATAACTGGCTGGTCCAGGTAATGATTTATTGAATTTATGTCCTACCGAAGCGTTTGTGGATACCGCGCTCTCCCTCAGTGATGATAATCAACCATTTCAGAGAATGTTAGAGCCAGATTTCATCGGTTGCTCAGCTGAGACTACCTCGTACAGTCCGTTACCACTGAATTATATCCATACCCACCGATCCAATGACCAAGCAGGTCCATGTAACGCCGAACTCAGTGGCCGAGCTCCCATCGATTCAGATCGGATTTTCACAATTTATTTCTGAGCAGAACAGTACGCGTCTTCCAACGTCGTCCAGAGAGCTGGTGATCTACTATCAGAACGTGCGAGGTTTGCGCACAAAAATTGATGATTTTTTTGTGGCAGTCTCCGAATCACACTACGACATAATTATCGTCACTGAGACTTGGCTTGACGAAAAGGTATACTCAGCCCAACTTTTCGGAAACTCTTACAATGTATACAGGAATGATCGGAATCGCCTCAATATCAGGAAAGCACGAGGTCGTGGAGTACTTATTGCCGTTTCAGTTTTGTTTAACTGTTGCATCGATCGAACTCCTGTTGATAGTTCACTTGAGCAACTTTGGGTGATTCTTAAATTGTCTAATTTACGAACTAGCATTGGTGTACTATATTTACCACCTGTTCGAAAAAATGACTTAGTCAGTATAAACAAACACATTGAATCCACCAGAGCCATTTTCTCTAACCTCCGAGAACAAGATCACGCACTCTTGTTTGGAGACTTTAACCAGTCTGGATTAGTATGGAACTCTACTACTTCTACTACTTCCGATCTTACTGTCAATGTAACGAAATCTCATTTTTCTGTTGCATGTGCAGCATTACTTGATGGTTTCAGTTTAAATGGTTTGAAACAAATCAACGGAGTTTTAAATGTGAATGGACGGCTTCTCGACCTAGTTTTGATCATGGATTCATTGATAGTAAATTGCAAGCTACTTGAAAATATTGAACCGCTAGTTCCCATTGACACTGGTCATCCCGCCCTTTCAGTGAAAGTTGAAGTGCCAAGTCCACCAGTTTTGAACGAAGTTTTTCATCACACGGATTGGACGTTTTTAGAATCGACAACGAACATTGACGAAGCAGTTAGTCATTTCTCAAGTACTGTTAACACTGCCTTAGCGGAACATGTTCCTATACGTAGACCCACTCCAAAGCCACCCTGGGGAAATGCTCATTTACGACGGCTCAAACGTATTAGATCGAGAACACTTCGGAGTTATAGTAGGAACCGCTGTCCTTTCTACAGGCAGCAATTTACCCGTGCCAGTAATAACTATCGTCTTTACAACCGGTTCCTGTACAAACTTTACTCTCTACGCACACAAGACAACCTTCGGAGAAACCCTAAGCAGTTTTGGACTTTTGTGAACTCTAAACGTAAAGAAAATGGCCTACCTGTAGAGATGATTCTGCACCATGATATCGCTAAATCCGCTTCTGAAAAGTGCGAGCTATTCGCTACTGACTTCAAGAGTGCATTCAATAGTTATATCGCTTCTACTGAACAAGCTGCAGCTGCCTGCAGGGATACACCAAATAATGCCTGTGATTTGAGGAATTTTGTTGTTGACCACCAACATGTAGAATCAGCTATTTCTAAAATGAAGTTCTCCACTTCAGTTAGCCCAGATGGAATTCCATCCTGCATTTTGAAACGTTGCTCGAGTGCATTGATTTATCCGTTGACGCTTCTTTTCAATATGGCCCTTCGAGTATGCAGATTCCCATCAAGCTGGAAATTGTCTGTTATGTTCCCTGTTCACAAAAAAGGAGATAAACAGAATGTAGAAAACTGTCGCGGCATTACGTCATTGTGCGCTTGCTCCAAGGTGTTTGAAATAGTTATCTACGAGGTGCTGTTTGCGACCTGCAAACATTATATATCAGTTGATCAACATGGCTTTTGACCAAAGCGATTTGTTTCCACAAATCTGGTGCAGTTTACCTCATTTTGCTTGCGTAACTTAGATGGCGGCTCACAAGTTGACGTGATATACACCGATCTCAAAGCAGCCTTCGACCGAGTTGATCATCGAATACTGCTATCAACACTGGATTAGCTCGGAATCTCCGGAGATCTCATCAGATGGTTTGAATCGTACCTTACAAATCGCAGTCTACATGTAAAGATTGGATGTGAATCATCGGAATGTTTCTGGTGTCCCACAGGGGAGCAACTTAGGACCACTTCTATTCTCCATTTTTATCAACGATTTATCGGAACTAATACCACCGGGATGCCGCCTTTTCTACGCGGACGATGGTAAATTATACGTAATCGTAAATTGCATCCAGGATTGCGACCTGCTACAACAACTGCACACTTAAAAATAGCTATTTTTACACGAGACGTAATTCATCTTTGACGTAAATTGTGGAATGTAAACAAACATGTCACGTAAAATTAAGTGTTCCCAAACCGAAACTTACACAACTCGACGAAAAGTACGATTGATTGAATTTATTTTCTCGTTTCTTTCAACTGATTCTTATGTCATTTGGGCCGCTTGCATGTGTCGGTCTCAGGGCATGGAAATTTACATTACTTTTTGGTAGTGTGTGATTATCAAATTCGAAGAGTGGTGCTCAAGAAACTTATTATCGATTAGTATTCCTAAATGTAATGTAATAACGTTTCATCGGAAACTGAACCCAATCATCTACGACTACAACATTTCCAATCAGTCTCTCGTACGCGTGAATCATATACGTGACACACATATCGGCTTCACTATGATAGTATCATCACAAAGGCCAACAGACAACTAGGATTCATCTTCAAAGTTGCAAATGAATTTCGTGATCCTCACTGCCTCCGGTCACTTTATTGTGCTTTATTGTGAACATCGATGCAGGCTTCTTGGGTTTGATTCATTGGAACGTAGAAGATTTATTGCACAGGCTGTGTTTGTCGCGAAAATTATGTTGGGTGAAACTGATGCAGCAGAAATACTGGCCCAACTGAACGTCTACGCACCCGAAAGAGTTTTACGACAGCGAGACTTCTTGTCACTTGAAGCACGTTATGCAGGGAATGGCCAACACGATCCGATTCGATTTATGACGGCAATATTTAATGAGGTTTCCCAGTTCTTTGACTTCAACTCATCCGCTGCAGCATTGCAACGTAGAT